TAAATGTTTATTTGTAAAATAAAATTTCAAAATCACATACTTTTTTTATTTTGCATAAAACACTAATACAATAATAATTATTTATCACTAAAATACAGAACTATTTAAGTGAAAAGGCTTTCTTAAAAAGCCTAAAAGTTTAAATTTCCTTTTTAAAAATACAAATTGATTTGGCTCCACGGACGTTCTCAGGGATAGAGTTCCATAGCTCAGGAGCTGCAAAAGAAAAAGATCTTCTGCCATAAAATTTAAGGTTAAAAGATGGTTTAAACAACAAGGTGGCCGATGAAGATCTTAAAAAACGTGAGGGTTTATAAGGCTCGATAAGATTAGAAAGATAAGAAGGAGAAGTTCCATTAAGAATCTTAAAGGTAATTAAAAGAATTTTATAATCAATGCGTTGCTCGACAGGCAACCAATGTAAGTTGTAAAGAATAGGCGAGATGTGATTGCATTTGCATTTGATTTCTTTACCGTCAAGTTAGTGTTTTCAAATTGCACGATTTCTAGTACCAAAAAGGACGCTGTTTATCGTCTTCGAAATAGCTGAAAATCGCTGTGTTTCTACCTCAATATGTGGACTTTGAGAAATGATCTTTGAAATATCAGTGACATGTAAAGAAACACGATCAGCTACAGTGAAATTTCGCTTCTTCGCGGATTTTCACCATGAGATACAAGGCCAAAGGGAGACGACGAAAGGAAAATAAATTTGTCAAAAAGGACGCTCTTAACAATATTGTATTTATTTGGATTTCCTACAGTGAAATCGAGAATAGTTTCCCTCTAGGAATTCATCTTGGAAAACTTTCCAGGTAAAACAGATAAAATGTTATTCTCGAATAATGTTTTTGATCCGTACATTTCTTTGTGAAATTTAACAAACATGTTTTTGTGCTTTTGCGAAGTACCGCTGCGATTGCGGGCTCATATGTCCCAATTTTCTGGCCATGACTATGAAGGCGAGTCAGGAAATATGYGGGTGGTTGTCCTGAGGCATTTTTAACATATAATCAAACAAAACAAAACCCACCAAATATTCATGTTTAGCTAGGCATGGCCAAAAGACATTAGGTAGTTGGTCATGGTCAATGTTGTGTGCAGATTTCATTTATGGAGTTTGACTTTGCTGGCGAAGGATGGTCACGCGACYATCACAAGGTCAAAACCCTAGCCCAAAGACCCGATGTAGAACTAGCACAAGTCTAACCCTAAGCCAAATCTCAACCCTCAGGCTAAGACAACTACAATCCTAAACCTAATTATCATGTGTTAGACATAACCACCGTTTTTACAAAGAGTGCGAAAAAAAACACTGTTCATGTGACCCTCTTTTTTAATTAAGTTGAAGTTGTCATTCAATAATATAAAGGCTTTAAAATTTCTTTGAATGGTGGAAGTTTTAATCAYATATTAAAATTCTCTCAATGATGACGACTGTGTTGTAAATCTGTGGTTCCTTACACGGTCAAACGACAGCCCTGGTACTAAACTAATAGCTCATTAATAAAGATTCTAAAATACTAAGTGGCAAATTGATGTAAATTGAGGTAAGGGACTGTTCATTAAATATGCCTCAGGGTGGTCTGGAGGAAAAGTCAAAAAAAACTTTGGAAAATTCGCAATACTTCGAGCCCCCATTCCTTCTGACATTGAGGAAAAATAGCCCTCCCCAATATATATATAGCAACGTAAAATAGGTAATCCCATAGGGAAATTATTTACAMACACATATATGCAAGCATCATATCTCRAACATTGTTTATAGCCTGATGATTGATAATAACATGAAACTTAAAGTCACTAYCCTGCGTGTTCGAGTCGTCTTATAGTTACTACTTGCTGTACAAGTATAAGTAAATGTACAACACATTCTACTTTTTCAATGGACATAGACAGTTGACACTCGTTGGTGATCTGCCAGACCTTGCTGTAGTTGTTTCAAAAGAATATGAAAATATCTTCAAGTTTTTTTTGTTGTATAAAAGATCTAAGGATTTAGAAACTTTAAAAGCAGTCACAACAAATCAAGTGAATGTTTGTGTACTTAGACCTTTATAAAAAAAGGAAGTAAAGTTGTTGTTTGTTCATTTTGAAATGTATAATAAAAAAATCATCATATTGATATTATATTATACGTACTTTAATTTTGTGTTTCAGCCTCCCCCCTTCAAGTTAGCAAATTCCATTAAAGCCCCCTTCATTGTCTGTTTATTTTTCAAAGCACGCTCTACTTTTCCTCAAGCCCTCCCCMACGCCCCTCAGCTATAATTAATTAACAGTCCCTAAAGACGATAATTCCTCAATTTTAATAAACTTTVAATAGCACATGTCATGTTTTGTTCATTTTATTTTTATTGTTTCAGCGTAATTATTCTATTTCTCATTTATCCTTTGAATTACTTCGATAGGTAAAATGGTTGTTGTCCGGCAGAAAGGTCTTCTCTGTTTACTCGTCCTTAGCGCATTTATTACCATTGGGGTAACAGGTCGTTTTCCAGGAAACGAGAGCAATTCATTACTTGATCCGGTTTTTCTTAGTGATGGCAACGAGAAATTAATCGGGGAAGCTATTGACAGGGCCATTGTACAAAAACAAATAAGACAAGAATGGGAACACTGGAAAAAGAAGCGGATTACAGAAACACCATCTATCGGGAATAAACCWAAAGAAATCAGRTTTGATKCTACGAAGAATACCAAACTCAAAGATATTTTTCATTATTTGCAGCACTTTCCACTGCTAGAGATTTACCCTGTTAAATACACTATACCTGTGGATGGGAAAGAAGTTAAGCTATTACTAACACATGACACGAGATCGGGCAGTTTTAACAAGTTTAGAGCCAAATACCTGTATCCAGATCCTTCCGACCCAACAGGGCAAAGGGAACTACAAACTGACCTAGTCAATCCGAAAGACATCATGCAAGAACTCATTTCAAGTACGAAAGAYCATGTAGAGCTGAGAAATGCTATTCAATCTGCCATTCCTGAAATTTTAAAGCAGGGTATCAAAGACAAAGACACTTTCAAAGACAAATTGGAAGCTGAAATCAAGAAAACGCAAGCCCAACAAGGTAAAAAACCTCACATATCAGRTGACATCAGGACCAAGGCATTCCGTCATGCACTGGAAGCTATGATGTGTACCTCTGTGATGAGAAGGCAACCAGAAACCTGGATTTCAGARGTCAATAAGAAAATTCAAGCGACAAATAATGATATTTCAATCAAAGMAGAAGTAAAAAATCAATGGGCGGATTGGAAGACGAATGGATTGTTTACTGAAGTGGCTGCCACAGGTTCTGATCCAAAAATTGTTATATTTAAGAAAGGCTCAAAAGTCAGCGTCAACGAAATCTTCCACAGCTTGCAGTATTTCACTGATCTCGAAGCAATTCCAGAACGTACAAAATATTCTATTCCAATAGATGGTAAGCGTTTCGWATTGGAACTGGCACCAGATGGCTCTGGAGGCTTTACCGCGAATAGCATGCGTAGAGATCCTAACAATAWTCAGAATGAACACTCAACTGATCTCTCCAAAATAAAGCCTATCGTGGATGCTCTCGATTACAATACTGGCAAACATTTTGAAATTCAAGTTGCAATTRMAAGCTCATTTAATCGTATATTCAATTTTCCCGAAAACCATGTTMATTGGAGGAAAAATAACTTCGAACACGTTCTGTCCGAACAAACGGCCATATCAAGAGTCACAATTCCAAGAGAYGARCAGAAAAGATCTTTTCGGGAAGCAGTAGAGCTGGTTGCAGCATCTACTATCCTTAAGAAGAAKMTGCCAACAGGTCATTTTATTGAAAAAATGGTTGATGAAAAAATAAAACCTGWAATGAAAAAGATTGACGAAAAATTTAAAGCGGAGTCTGTGAAGAAGACATGGAAAGGTCTGAAATCAAAAGCATTCAKTGAAGATTCGACTAAAATCCCMAAAACTGTGACTTTTAAAGACGACGCGGATATATCTGTAAAAGAAATTTTCCAATAYTTGCGATACTTTCCACATCTTGAGAATGCTCCTGTGATTTATAAAATTCCTGTTGATGGACAAGAAATAAATCTAAAATTAGAGCCTGATGGTACTGGAAAGTTTACAGCAAAATATATTCATCAAGATCAAAATGGAAAGACTCTTGAAACAGACCTCTCTAAACCCGATGACTTTATTCATGATCTTATTTCTAGCACCGAACCAAGAAAAGARTTAAGGGAAGCACTTGAATCRGCTTTGCCGAAAATTTTWWAAAAAAATYTAAAGAGCAAAGACACTTTCAATAACGCAGTAAAAAAGAAAATTGGTACTGGTCAAATTCCAGACGACGTAAAGAACAAGGCATTTAGACAGTCAATGGAAACTATGGCTTCTTCAGTGATCTTGGGAAATGAGCCAGAAACTTGGATTAATGRTTTGAATAAAGAAATGGAAAAAACAAGAAATGAAGTGGAAGATGCATTTAATGAGAGGATCAAGAACAACCAAAATACACTGTTAAAATTCGAATTAGCAGCAAGTACGTTGAGGACTACAGAAGAAGCAAARGCAAAATGGGCATACTTAGTAGCCGAAGGCTTTATASAGGAAAAGTTTGATTCCARTAATAGAGTTACAGAAATCAAATTTAATGAGAACGCTCCTCTTACAATCAAGGGAACTTTTAAACTTCTGCAACACTTCAATCAGCTGTACCCAAACCAAGGTTATACTAAAGCACAACTAAAAATACCAATTGGTGGTGAGGAGCGAACTGTGTACATATCCAAAAGTAATGAGGACCTAAGAGGCAAAGAGCAAGTAACTATTGARGGAAAAAATAWACACTGGCAAKGGACAAGARAGATATCAACAGACAGYAAGGGCAAGCTTAAAACAGACAACMAGYWCATATCWACAAGTTATGATGAGATAATTCATRATAGGGCGTTAAAAAATTTTCCTGATACAAAGCATCTTGCCGATGTCATGCTAGAATCCATACATGGAAAACTGAATGAGCARCCAAATTTTGACACTAAACTTGAGATTAAAGACAGCCGAGGTCGAAGAAAAAACACAAAGACATTAGACACTATAAGAGGTACTGTGGAGTTTATGWTGATATCCATGATTGGGGAGGCCGCTCATATTCCAGAATATGTTGAAAGTKCATTCAAAGAAAAGCTTGCYAATAGAATTAAGAGAAAGCGTGARTTTCCTAAAGCCARAGAWATGCCAAGTCTTGAACATTTAGGCAGAGACGCAGCTGGKRASACAATCAAAGCTGGAAGAAGCCCAACTGCAGATGAGGTGGTCATTAAGCTATTAAATGAAATGAAGTCAAGTGGAATTCGTTTCGACCTTCARTTTSAAAGCAGTTCRRATAAATTTCCTTTCATGGATAAAGWTGGTGGTACRAAAAAGGGAAGACTTTTTTTATTTGACAAAGGAGATCAACCGATACCATCTAGTATAGCACAGGAACGTGCTGCCACAGATGACGTAGGAAGTACTATGGCAAAAAGAGCAAGGATATCATGCACAGGATCAAGCAAACGAAAGAAAAGAGATATCTGCTCACTAGARCAAATTGATAAAAATATGATAGTCGATGAAAGTTCAATCAAAGTTGAAGACACCAAAGTTGCCCTTGATATCGTCGATCGTCGGGATGCTACTAAGCGCAAACATTTAGAAATTAAGATTTCCCCAGACGAGCTTGCAACGAGTAAACTTGTCAARCAAAGGCTTGCCGAGTCAAAGAGAACTGACGTRAGTCAAAAATATGCAAAAATCAATAGAGGGCTGGCCGTACATGGAATGGTGTTTTCAGCAATAGGAGCCATCGATTATTTYAAAAGGGGAGACAATGTTCGCGGAGGAATTGCAGTTTCTCAATCTCTTCATAGCCTTGGAGGACTAACCGGTTTCAATAAGATAGCATCTAGTGCTGCTAAACAGGCATTGCGTCACTCAGCTTTCAAAATTGCTAAAGGCTTAAAAATGGAAAAAGGCTTAGCTCGATTTTCATCTAAGGTAGAGAAATTCATGGAAAAAGGTGTTGGACGYCTTATGGGTGACCTTCCAGGCGTTGGTCTTGCCTTTGATATATACTTTATCAAAGAAGATATTGACGMATTATCAAMACTTGACCTAAACAACCCTGAAGATGTTAAGATGTTGCCTTTACGTGTCGTTGATCTTGTCCTTGATGTTGATACAACAGTGTTAAATCTCATTGGCACATTTTGTCCAGCAGCGGAAGTCATAACGGAGCCACTTATAATTGTTCTCTCAATYGTTCGAATGGCTATTGACGACTTTTACGTTGACATTATGGAAGAGATGGATAAGGTCAATTGGAACAGTCCTTGGGCTGGTTTTGAGTTTATTGGAGCTTTGTTTAAAGGAATTATTGAAGGAGCTGTTGACTTTTTAACTGGTGGTCTAAGAAAACAAATGGAAAACTACTCCAAACAAGAAAAACAAGATCAAAAATTCATTTCATCCTTGAAAGAYGTCACAAACTATTTTACAATTACGGGCAATAAAGCAAATCAAAAAACAATTGACTTTACTAAAGGAAAATTGGCACAGTTTGGTGGATTTATCAATTTTAGATTAAACAACGATGGCACTGCTCATCTTGAAGTTGGCGATGTAACTGGAAAGCATGAAACAATCAAAAGGACATTTAAAATAGGGGATGATGTCAATGACATTGTTCTCGGCATCGGGGAATCGCGGAAGTTTGTGTACGAAACAAAAACCGCAAAACTGTGGATGTTTATTCCAGTAAAAAACTATAARGTTATCAAGGGTGCAGATCTCCGAGCTTCCTCGCTGTATGGTATATACTATGGGAATGAYGARAGCAATAAATTTTATGCTGTACAAGGTAATCACACGGAAAAAGRAAATGATCAAATTCAGCAAGACTATGGCAAATTCAACATTAATTTTGCTACCGGTCACTACCATTACGACCTATATGGTCGTGGTGGATCTGATACCTTTTTCCTTGGACCACAACTTTCTCACGTTACTGGAGGACTTGGTAGGGACGTCTACATTGTTCAGTCTTATGGCGGAAACACTGTCATTGATAACTTTTCCGAAGATAAAGAAAGGGATATGGTTATCATAAATGTTCAATTTAAGGAAATAAGCTGCCATAAGAATAATGTAGATCTGCATATCTTATATAAGAAAACCCATCATATCCGTATCACTAACTGGTTTGTACCTGGAAGTCCCAMATACTATAGGCACATATCATTCAAGAGCATTGACGGAATAATATTTTTAGCTAAAGATTATCTATCGGAAGTCAAATGTRCTCCAATAGCAATAGAAAAGTCAGGCAAAACTAACGGAGAAGACATTTCTTTAGAGCAGAAAGACTTCTTRCAAGTTAAACAGGTTGTTGGCACACAAGGCGATGACACAATTCATGGAAATGACCTCAATAATATCTTAGACGGTGGAAAAGGTGAYGACCWCTTGATGGGCGGAAGAAATGAAGATACCTACATCATTAGAGCGAMTGAGGGGTGTGACAGAATCAACAATAATGCGGACGATTACAAGACAACAACTGATGTTATTGTATTCGACGTTCCTTATGAAAGAATTGCCCTCAAAATATCTGGAAACGAYCTTCTAGTTTTCGACACCAATGCACAATTTAAAAGATCATCGTGCTTTACCATCGAAAAATGGATGCTGGGAGAACAATACCGACACCTGATCTTGACGTCATCGGATCATGTTGTGTTCAARATCAAGCAGGAAAAAAATAAGCATACAAARTTTCCCATGGTGCTTGATTATTCTAGTTCCCCCAAGGGAGTTAAGGTYGACCTACGAAGGAAGCCACGCAAAGGATATATTAATGAGAAAGGATTTGATCAAGTCGCAACTATTTCTGACTCTAAACATTCAGATCACTTATTAGGCAACAAACAATCAAATTTCCTTAGCTGCACTGGTGGCAAAGACTATCTTGTAGGATATGGAGGAAGTGATAACTACATCGTGAAAAAATCATGCAAACTGGCAGTGATTATTAATTGGGACTCCGGTAAAAAGGTGGATCTCTTGCTCTTGGACTATAATTTTCAGGAATTAAGAGGAAAAAAGYACCATCATGATTTTTAYATAWACTATGACGTCGTCCATCCCAAAGTCATCTTAAAGCACTGGTATTCGGGTACAAGATTTCAGCATCTCTGGATGCGCACAAGGGACGGGATTACTGTAAAAATTAGTAACACTACAAACGCTTTGATTCCAGTAGAGATATCAAAAGATCCTGTGGAATGCCAATGCAAGSAAACAGATTGTCAGAGAACTGTCATCCAATACGATCTAAACGAAGATCCTTGGAAACATGTAACACGTTTCCAGCTTAATTCAAGCTATTGCAGCTACAGAATCAAAGGCAATGATTTGAATAATTACATTGATCCTGGTTCTGGTAATGGTTACAATTTTCAACATCTCGAGGGACGAGGGGGCGCAGATACGTATGTTTTAAAACATGGTTACGGAGAGTTCAACATCATAAACAACTATGCCAAAGATAAAAAGAAAGATACTCTAAAACTTGGTTTAGAACTAAATGATATCCAAWTTTTTTTTCATGGAAGTTTTGATGTAATGCTAACTTCCAAAGCTAGACCAAGTTCACTGGCTGTTAGATTGAATAATTACTTCCTAGGTTCAGAATACCAGCACCTTCAAGTGATCACAAGTGATCAGGTCACTTTTGAAATAAAAAAAGAAGATCCTTTCATGAAGATAATCACCTTAGATTTGTCAAGRTTTGATTCCCCTCAATCTTTATCGTCGAAAGAAATGCAACTTGCATCCCAGGCTCAGACGTTGCAAGGTGTAGATGATTTCTCTAACACAATCAATGGTACTGCATCTTCAAAAGARATTGATGGTGGATCAAAGGATGACATAATCTCTGGTGGACCTGCCGATAACATCATCGATGGTAAAGGAGGAAACGACAAAATATCTGGGAACGAAGGAGATGACATCTTATTTGGAGGAGATGGAGATGACACTATCAATGGAGGAGATGGAAACGATTACATTTATGGTGGAGATGGAAAAGATTCAATAGATGGCGGCCCTGGAGATGACACAATGGTTTTTAAAGGAGATAGTTTTGAAAAGAAAGGAGTYTATGTTGATTTGTCAGGAGGGTTTGGAAAGAATACAGATGCCGAAGGAGATACCTACAAAAATGTTGAAAATGTCTATGGAACTATACAGAATGATATTCTCATTGGATCGGATAGCGACAATAATCTTTATGGTGGTAGTGGCGAAGATGTTATTATTGCCAAGGGAGGCAGTGACAAACTAGTTGGAGGAGATGGTAGTGACAGATATATACTCGATGACGCTTATGGTGTAAAAATCATCGACAATTACTCAGAAGACAAACAAAAAGACACTCTATCTCTGTCAAATATAGATTCCAACGACATTTGCATATTTCTAGTYGGAAATGACCTSCATTTGACTATAGAGAGGACTTCRCTTAGTAATGCCCTTTATGATTCAAACGATCTGACRGTTATTATCCAGAACTGGAATGCGAGACATCAACACAGGCACTTAAATATTTTATTCAAGAACACTTACTGGCCAAATCACATACTGRCATTAGTACGAGAGGACCCAAATAGGTTYCGACAACTGGGGCCTATAGTTCGCCATGTTGGAACAKACCCTACCTTCAAATTTATGCCAGGAAATCCAAACAACGGTGTTGGCCTGTCATGGAAGCCCATTGCACCTCTTCTTCTCGACGAGAAAACTCAACTGTCTTTATTTCACGTTGATATCGACAATCCGAAGAATATCGGAACTACAGAGATCGCAGGTAATGCTGTTGACCGAGGTCAGTGGGTTGATACTTCTCAAAAACTACTCAAAAARGATAAACACTACATGCTTGCTTTGTTCCTGAAATATTGCTCAAAGGTAGTCGCTTCGTCATACTCTTTGACATATTACGGTCAGAAGAAATCATGTTCACAAATAAGTGTTGAGAACTCTATGGTCATTTATAAACCCCAAGGATCGTATTTACATGGAACAAAGGCTASCCTGATATGCAAGAAAGGTTATAAGCTTAATAGTAACGAGGTGGCATACAAGCAGACATGTCTAGATGGGAAATGGCATCCACAACACCCAACATGTGTTCTTGAGATTAGGTGCCCGAGAAGCAACGACCTCACGAATGGCGTGGTTACATTTCAAAGAACAGTAGATGGTTCTGATATMGCGCATTATTCTTGCGACAAAGGATTCAAATTACAAGGATCACCAATGCTTCAGTGCAAAGATAAAGGAATGTGGTCAGGCGAGAAACCAACATGCCAAAGAATGAGTTGTCTTAGGATACCAAAAGTTAAAAATGGAATCGTAACAGAATGTAAAAGGATCAGTGATGAGTATGGTACAATGGAGGAGCCCAAGCAAGATTTCTGTGTCAAAATAACATGTAACCCAAATTACATCGAAGAATTTAAAGTTAACGATCTTGCTACAACGTTTAAGATATATATAGAACTAGCGAAAAAGCTAAAAGGTCAATGGTTCTGCAGGAATGAGAAGTGGAAGGGAGCAGGAGAGCCTAAATGTGTACCTAGTGTAAGACTGAATAAACGGGTTTCTAGCTGGCATGTAGATCGAGGCATATTGCAGCAGTGGGATGATTCAAAAAATCAATGGATAGATAGTCTCAGTGATGATACAKGCATATACAAACTTGCTTGTTCGAACTCTGTGGGTATGGATGATTACAATGGCACACCGAAAGTTGTAAGGAAGARCAATCAACTGGAAGTATCATGCCCTAAGATTCGTTTTGTGGACAAAATAACRCCGTATGAAGGGTCTCTTGAAGTTCTGGTTAACAAGATGTGGCAACCGACATGTTTATTGGCTGCARCAGAGGATGCACAAAATACACAAAAGCTCAAATCCGCCTACCAAAYGATGTGTAAGGATCTTGGTGTGGATGCTCATGATCCAGGCATCGCTTATATAGGWCATGGTGCAACTAATCAAGTTATGATGTGTAAAAAAAGTTTCACAAACATGTAAGTAGAGGTTTATTTTCTTGCAATAAAAGTGATCAAATGTATCGATAACCTTATATAATAAATGTAATAKGAACAGGAGATACATTGAATTAGCCAATGTTTTATCAGACTCAGCCATGTGACTCAACTAGCTAATTATTTTTTCGCAAACTCATAATTTAGGACTTTCTATCTCTGTCTTTTCWTAATAATCTTAATGATCTTTTATCTTAATAATTTTATTGCCTTGTTTGATAACACTGCCGTGCAAAATATAAGTAAAAAAATGAAACTTGAGAATAATACATTAATACGTTTTTCCAGCAAYGATTGTATGGTAAAGCCACATCCGATGACGGACTGCATCTACAAGCTACAATGCCGAAGAAGATGTGACAATTCTTATCCTGTCCCCAATGCCGAGACRGTATGCRACGGGAAGTTTGAAGATGATCAGTGTGAAGTAAGATGCAAGCTTGGTTTCAGACTTGCTGGCTCTCGTACAGTGTACTGTAAGAAAGGAGTATGGTCGAAATCGAACGGGGAAATAGCAACTTCCAGGTGTGATCAGGACCATGAAGAGACTCACAAGGAAACGAATGACGTTCTTGAAGAAGTGCTGGAGTCARTCAGCCCGTTCAGCATCCTCGGGTAGAGGACTATTCAAAGCCTGCATGCTGATTTTAGACCAGAGCCTGTAGAACAAATACTAAACAGTTTACTGTCAGCAGTCAAGGACCCAAACTATGGATTTTTTGCACTTTCARTCAAAATCTGCGTTTTCTTTGAAAAGTTTCAAAACTATTTCTTACACTTTATTGACTTGTGCTTCTCCATTTTTGCCATATACATTATAATTATTATTATTATTGCTATAATTACGATGATCTTATACATATATCTTGATGTGACTTATTATAAAACTCTTGCATACTCATTATGTGATAATAAATTAAGATGAACTGAGTCGAATTGAATTGAATTGAAATGATGCTTTTAAGTTGAGTGACTTGATGCACTATATATAAATAATATTGATTTTTTTCACTTGCTGCATGAATACGATCCTCTTCTTCAAATTATGCAAAACCATATGAAAATGAAAATGTACCTTACTGAACTTTCAGCCATCATATTCCCGAGATTGCTATAAAAAACGTCATCTGTACGTTTTAAAGCCTTTAATTAGAAAAGTCACAACATACCATAACAAGCAAGAGCTAACTTAAAAATTATATTGATATCCAATTAAAACCTGTCAACATTACGATGCTGGCCCAACTCACCCCCTCCCCATTGCATCAAAGAAATGACACACGATATGCTGCTTTATATGGTAATACGAAAGGACAGAAAAAAAGGCAAGCTACTGTTTTCTCTGCATACATAATCTTTCTTCTCACCACAGCACGCTATCTGCCAGGCAACAGGACCGGTGGTCACAAGCAGGCAGTCATAGTTTAGGTCTGTTCTGTCTGTTGAAATTAATAGAGAGGTAAAAATATCCCACATGCAAGACATGCTAGTGCCAGAGGATATAGGACACTTGTGTGCCTTAGCATTTCTTTTATTGGGGTATCTAGTCTTCTAGATTTGCATTGTGCAGTGCATTAGGAAAGTGTAGAACGTAAAGGAACCCCAATTTTCCTCATGAATATAAAAAATAGAGGTAAATTTAGTACAAGACAAATAATTTCTTTAGCTTCTAAATTTACCTCATGTTATTCATGAGTGAGGGGGTTTGTAAACCCCCTGGATGACAATGGAATCCGATGTGATCATGGTATTACTTGGTACTAAAATAGGATTAATGTCACAGCATAGTAGACGATCACATCCATTATTGCGTCTTCCACAGTAATGCATAAAAAGCCATGTTTCAAACATGGAAAAAGTAAAATAAACTTAACTTTGAGTGATGTAGCTAGCTGATGACAATAGGACGTCGAAAGGAAACCGTAAACCGGTTTTGGAATGAAAATTGTGTAAAATTGAGCATTTGATGACAGACTAGTTTATCTAAATGAGAATGAAAACATTATGTTTTGAAGATCCT